TTCCTGTCTGTGTTTAAGTATGCATCTGTTGGGCAACATCCTGCAACTCATGTTCTTTTTCAATATATATATTATACTCAAGGTCTGTCCTGGATAGAATTGAAGAAAATCCTCAATATGATCTTTGTTGCTACTACATGTTTAAATTTCAGTTGGTCCTCGGTATTATGAAGTCCGTCTCACAAAATTGAGATAACTCACAGGAAAAAGTAAACTAGGGAATATTTGATTTACCTTAATAGGGCTATTGATGTCTTAAGTTAATGCTTCTTTGTTATGTGACGAGCGCAAATTACATATTATTTTCAAGCGCTTCGCTAGTCAAATATAGTATAGAATAATTATTGTCTCCACATGGATTGGTACAATTAATGCCTCAAACGAACTTTGCTAAGTTTTTATATGGAAAATATTAACTGTAAATTGATGTGGTATTACACCATGAGTAACAAATATACTTTTAACTAGTGTTGATTTAAATGGACTTGGGAATTATTAAATAACGATTGATAGGAGAAGTAAGGGATAATGACTAGACACAGATGCAATAGAAATAAGCAGGATCAACTTGTTTTCAAGGTTCTTATCTGAGTTTTCGTTGCTTTTGGCAAATTCAATGACTGACTAGCATGTCCACTATATCAGGATACGTCTTCCGAATGAATTTAATATCTTCAGACTCAACTAATTAAATTCTGAAGAACATTTGCAAGAATAAGCCAATGGATGTAAAAGGAAAACTTCCCATGAATATTTTCCTATATTAATTTGAAGAACAATTCAAGAAGCTTTTTCGATTACTGAAAAAAATTGTTATAATAAATCATAATCTAGTAACATAGATTGTAAGTGCAAAGCTTCTCTTTTGATTAAACTAAATAAGGAATAATTATGCTTATTGTTCAAACTCATTAACAAAATCTGACAATTTAAGCAAGTTGAATCCATGAATTACACCTAAAACACCATGTGTCACAAACCCTACGAGGAACTACTCCATAAAATTAGACAGCATAGTCAAAGAAGAAAGAAAACTAGAGTTCATTACAACCAACTATAGATCCAAACTGCTGTATTGAATTGAAATGATGATGAAAGTATTGAAATCCGTTGTCTTCAACCCTTACCGCTTACTCTGACTTCCCAACATGCTGACCCCTATTACTTGCATTTTTGGAGTATTTATACCATGTACAAAAAGGCCCAGACCAAAATACCCTTCAAAGACAACTTGAAAAAAATCTGGCAACAAAATGCCTGACGCGACATGTCGTGCCAGGCCAATTTTCCAGGCCTCTGGATTTCTCGGCGGAGAGCAGCACACAAAGCAGGCACGGCACACCAAGCTATTTTCCAGTGTCGTCATCTACTTCATTCTTTCACATGCATCTCGGTCCTCGAACCTCAAACTTGATTCCATTTGAATTCTCTTGGACGTCTGCTTAGACTTCAAAGTACCAAGACATCTATCTAAGCTCCAAAACTGCTCAAAATCTTAGAAACAAGTCCTACAACAAAAACACATGTAATAAGCACAAAGCATTAAACATTATAAATCATCAAACACTATTAGAATGTAGTTAAATAAGACAAAATGTAGCTAGGAACTTATGTTTCTTGCCTACCATCATTATGTGGTCTGCTTTAACCCAGTAGTTTTGTTAGAGTCATTTGCTACTTTAACTCAGTACACTAAGGAGGGGAGGACTATTATTACCTACTGACAAGTGACAAGTGACAACATCTTGTTTTCTCATTTTTGCATCCTCAGGGATGCCTTAATTGTGATTATAAGAAGTGGTGGTTTGCCTTCACTGTATGCTGGATGGAAAGCTGTACTCTGGAGGAATATTCCACACTCAATCATTAAGGTAAGTTTTGACTTTAGCAATCTGTCTCTGTGCCCTTTTGGAGAGAATCGGGGAGCAGGAAGTCGATTGCTTTATATTCTCTTTCATCCAAGTTTGACATCATTCTTTTTAGCCTTCTATTGCTCTTTTATTGTACATTACCATTTTGACTGGTAGTTCTATACATATGAAAGATTGAAGGAATTGAGGTTGTCATCAGTTCAACTGCGCAACCAAAATGACACACTAATGACGGTTAGTTTTCTTACTAATGAGTAGTCCTATGTCTACTCTTCATCTTTGCCATTATCGGGCTCATGATAGATAATTTTCTGGCACTTACATTCTGACTTTTACTATTGGCTTTAAGGAATGATGGTCAAGGTTATCGTTTTAGTGATTGAAGTCTGTAGTTGAGGCAATGAAGCCTTAGTGTTCTTGGTTTCATAGTCTAGTACAAAACAATAAGGTTTTTCTCAGTTGTTTTCTCCTCCTTCTAGCTTGCCTGTGGAGGATTAGCTGGCTCTACTGCTGCACTATTCACAACTCCCTTCGATGTTGTCAAGACAAGATTACAGACACAGGTAATTAATCAATGTGTTTCCTTTCTTGTTAACTCTAGTTATGATAGATGTCAGTATGTCTATAGTTTACTTGAACTGGGATTAATTTAAATCTTTCTGAAAGTGTTCAGTTGCTGGCGTTTCACATCCCTTTTTAATTGATTGTTATTTGAGAAAGCTTCAGCTTCTATACTTAACATCTTCCGTAACACTATATACGCATCTGATTTGTAAAGTTCCTAAGGAAGTCTTGGTCGTGCAGATTCCTGGATCTACGACTCAGTTTGGTGTATTCGGCACACTTCAAGAAATTGCAAAACGTGAAGGTTTGAAGGGTCTCTACAGGTAATGGTTGGATGGTATTTTGAAATAATTTTATTGAATAATACCTTCTGGTAATACTTAATTGTCAATCTTGTGTATCAAATATTTAATACGCGCACCTATCCCATCCCATAATATATTTTTAATGATGCCACATACTCTAGCAAATTAGTCTGTTGGACGCGGTACCCTACCAAACTGACTATATTGGTAACTTAATTGTCTGTGCTGTCACCAAGTCATGCTGAATGAATACCAGCAGCGTTCTAAACGCATGCCATATATAGTCGATATGTTGTTTACGCTAACCATTTTATTTGTTCTGGTTATAATGAACCTTGATTTCATGGCAGGGGCTTGAGTCCTAGATTGATCATGTATATGACCCAGGGAGCACTTTTCTTTGCATCTTATGAATCTTTCAAGAAGATATTTTCTTTGGATATCCCGCAGCCTAAAACAGAAACGGTTCCATATGAACACAAGGAAGATGATCCTGCAATGTTGACTTCATGAAGCTAACAAAGGAAAGATCAGTTCAACATAGTGCATCTTTGCAGCAATGTTCCAAGTGAGAAAATATGATTTCAAGATTAACATGGATATTTTCCTTTGTGCTGGAGCACCAAACAGATGATGAAGGAAACTGAAGTGCTAATAGACACATGCAGGCTGATTATCCATCGAGTTTTGAACCGTGTGTCAGCTAGCCCTCGAGAATTTCTTGGAGAGGATATAGGGATGCTGGATGCCTACTTTTGTAGTATGATTGTAAATTTGATATTAACATTAATATAGGCGCGACTAAACTTATCTGGAATTGAGGTATAGTTGATTGATTGATTTCGGTGAGTCTGCAATAATGTAAGTATTTCTTGTGTAGCCTTAGCTTTAGAACATTTATTTAAAGAAAAATGTCTATTTTCCTTTCCTTGTTGGTTACCATAAACATTGATGAAAAGTGCAGACTAACAAATACTTTTCCAATAAAGACAATAGAGACAGCAACAACACAAGTGACATTTGGAGAGAGAAGAGTGTACGTAGATCTTATCCCTAGGAAGCAGTGAAACTATTTCGATAGATCTCCAGTTCAACAAAGAAAATAGAAGCCTATGGTATTAGTATTACTAGTGGCTCAAGCAAACCAATGTCTTCCCAACAACAAAAGTAAAGTGTAAATTGAAACCATTTTCTATTAAATTTTGGATAAATATTTTACAAACATTCAAATGAAGGGTGTAAAGCATTGATACAAAAAATTTAAAAAAATGTTTTTGATACATATAGAGGTAGATGACAGTTTCCTACAACAAAGTCGTTGTAGTATAGTGGTAAGTATTCCCGCCTGTCACGCGGGTGACCCGGGTTCGATCCCCGGCAGCGGCGTATTATTTTTTTTCCTCTTTTAAATTTCTTATACACTCTTTATCTCACAAGTTAGTAGGAATAAAATCTATGTACACTCTCGGAAACAAGTGCTCTACCTCACAAAGTAGTAGGATAAGTCATCCGAAACAAGTTATCTACCTCACAAAGTAAAGTTAGTAGGAATAAACACTCTCGGAAACAAGTGGTCTACCTCACAAAGTAGCAGGATAAGTCATCCGAAACAAGTTATCTACCTCACAAAGTAGTAGGAAAGTTTATCATAAACAATTTTTTTACCTCACAAAGTTAGTAAGAATAAAATCTATGTAATCGTAAAGGGAGGCCATTGGCCAGTTGTTTTTTCAAATCAAATGTCATTTTTTTTAGAAAAAAAAAAAAGGGAACAAGAAAAGAACTACATCTCTCTTGAAAAACAATAAATTACTGTAAGGATTATGTTTTCCTTCCCAACAACAAAGAGACAAAGAAAGTCCTTTTTCAAGAAAATCTATTATTTTGTTTCATACTGGCCATCATGAGCACTTCATGGAAAGCTAAACACTTGTGATGAAAACAGGAAAACATGAAACTGCCTAAAGTCCAAACCGATATGTTTTACTTGAGTCGAGGGTGTGAGATAAGCTAAGGTTGCGTACACACAACCCTCTCAGACCCCACTCGTGGAATACACTAGGTATGTTGTTGTTGCCTGAAGTCCAAACCAATATATTTTACTTGACTCGAGGGTCTATTTCACAAGGTAGGCTAAGGTTACGTACACACAACCCTCTCTAACCCGACTCGTGGGATACACTGGGTATGTTGTGGTTGTTGTCTGAAGTCCAAACAAAGATTGCAAATTATGACCAAACTATTCTCACAGATGCTGCAATTGCATTTAAATGGCTCAAGAGCTATTTATTTCCCACAATAGTATACTTACATTAAAATAATACAAATCTACTAACTCATACTACAAAGAGTGTTCAAAATTCTCCCTTATGACTTGCTTTCCTTGAGCACCTTGTGGCCATCATAAATAAATTACAAGTAGACTAATGCTTATATTTGAAATTTTCTATAGTTGAAAAAATTGAATTGAGATTCCTATGCCCTCCCCTATCAACTAACAATATAAACAGTATGGTGTTGTGAGATTTTGACCCTATTCCAGAAGAAAAATAACAAAGCATGATCATCAAGCTGAAAATCAGATTTTCACAAGCTCGTGGATACTGCCTCGTGTGCACCATTCATCATCTTGGTCCTTTCATGCACAAAAAAGTTGCATCCAGATGATCTCGAGTTCACAAAGTAACCAGTGTTTGTATGGAACTCGATATATGCCTAGCTGACTGAGTCGTTCAAGACTATACTCGACCAATTGGAGAGAATGGTGGATTGAGCACGAAAGATGGGAATACTTGTTCCACTTTCTTGTGTACTTTCTGTTTCTTTTCCTCTCTAGCTGCATTGATCAAGCCTTTAATGTCATCATCCTGAACAAACACCTTCAACGAGTTGGATTGCAAAGATTCTACATTGTTCTCTTTTCCCTCAGCAATCGAGGTTTCCATGGAGTGCAAAATTGAGACACAAATAGAGAATGCTTGTAATGCAGACAACTGAGCATGGAAATCAACTGAATATTGTCCATCCTCCTTAAGCGTCATGGTCAACGCTGGAGCTTTATCTTTTCTTCCCTGCATACAGTTTGTTTAAAACAATGAGCAAGGGAAAATCACTTTCGGGATAACGCATTATCAGTACTAATCGAGCAGATACAGTTTCCTATCATCTGTCCCTTCCAGGAGTAAGATAGACCATCCTTATGTGTGGTATTCTCATAGTTAACATTGATTTGGCTTGTATACCTTGAAAACAATGATTCGGTTTCTTAAAAACAAGTTTATGAGTTATCTAATCTCAATTCTAGAAAAAAACCAGAGATATATCACATAGTCCCTCCATTCCAATTTGTTTGTCTAACTTTCCTTTTTAGTCCATTCCAAAAAAACTGTCTCCTCTTTTTTGACAATTCTTTAATTTCAACTGTCCACATGGCATGGCGTGTTTAAGACCACAAGATTAAAGGACATTTTGGTACATTCTACACATTTTTAGTTTCTGACTACAAGATTCAAAAGTTTTTCAACTTTTTTAAACTTCGTGCCAAATCAAAACAGAATTGAAATGGAGGGAGTATCATATATGAATCTATTGACATGAGAAAGGTTGATGAACTAAAATTCTATGCTAGTAAATGATGCAATAGTTCTGATAAGTCATTATTGTTACTAAATATGAGAAACTTGAGCTCTAACATATGCAGTTACTTCCCTCTGCTTAAAACAGAACCTTTTCAAAAGAAATGCTCGAGTAACACGACTAGTTATGTATTTGTCTACCAAGATTGCCAAAGGTATAAAAGACTTCCTTCAATGTAAATGCCTATGAGAAGACATCTTTAGGTAACATGTAAGAACATTACCTGAATGAAGAGTTCCAATGGCTGCTGCCTCTCGACCAGAGGACGGTTGTCATCAATACGAATATTTGGATTGCCAAATATGTGAAGAGGGCATGCCATGTCCCAGCCGCCACAGTCACAACCTCCGCCCATCCTCCATCTATCCAACAAGGGGGAAGGACCAGGACTTTCAGTTGTTGGACGACCATGGTGTCCGGAAGGGATCACAACGTTCACCTTGGCGGGGCTTACACTATCAGAATGTCCAATTCTTTGTTCAACCACAGAGAGATCCAGTAAGTTTGGAAGTGGCTGATCAGCCTTTGCATCCCCACTTCTGAATTTTAAACTCTCTCTCTTTTCAAATGGTACCTCTATAGCAATCGCTGCAATTTCAACCTCTACGGTTTCACAATTAGCTCCAGACGACTTCTCATCTGAGGCCTTAGGTGCAATAGTGACATCAGGGGAAGAACAACAACTTTGTTGAAAAGAAACTCTTTTTCTTGAATGGGGAGTCTCATACAAGACAAACTCTGTCACCATTGAGTTGTCGCAATCTCCAGCGTTTTTAATATCTGTACATAAATAACAGGAAACTTGCATCCGCCCAACCAACAACGGTTCTCTAACGCTATCTTTTGATCCCCATCCACCACTAGCATTGCTCTTCCTTTTGTGGTGAATAGAATGAAATGTGTACACCCAATTTAAGGTATCCTCAACTTTCCATGACTTCGCAACAAAACTATCTTCAGGTGACTTTACTGAAAACTCAAAGAAGGGCAATCCACTTTTCTTATCCGACCTGAGCATGCCGTGTAAGTGAGCTGGTAAACTTTGCACATTTGAATTACATTCCACTGGCTCAGGTATGCTTGAGAAATCATGCAATAGAGATTTATGAACTGTTCTGCCTCTACTGGCATTAACAGGATTATTCTTAATATTTGTGCCAGTTTCGAAAGTATAACTCAATGGACTTTTCAGAGACTTTGATTTACCAAATGGATCAAACATCTTTCTTATAGGGCTGAAACGGGATTTTTGGCTGCTAGTCCTGGAGCTATCACTTTCTGACCAAGCAGGCGAATGTGGTAATGCTAACTTTGCAGACAGTGATTTGGATAAAGACACAGATGGATCCCTATCCGTTAGTCTGTTAACTTCACATAGACGGTCAGCAACGGATTGAGACATGATTTTTGAATCTTGAGCTGACTGTCTTGGTGGAATTTGAGTCCTTCTATTTTCTCTATGATCAGAATTTAAAGAACTTCCTAGAGAGCTATCTGATGGTACATCGCTCTCAGGTGTAAGTTTGAACGAGGATCTATGTTTATCTATGAGTGAATTATCCTCATCTGAACCACATAAAACATCAACAATACCAAATGAGAATGCATTAGTATTGCCCCTAGAGAACTCGATTTTTCTTCTTTCCTCAACAGCATCAGTTTTCTTGATGCCTCTAACATCTCTAGAACTTTGATAGACAGAGCCCCTCTTTAGGATATCATTTCCTCCCAAATGTGATTTCCTTGATGGAGCATCTTTACACGACACGCTACGATACCGATGAAAGCTTATCTCAGTGAAGTCCCCATCTACAGACAATACTTCTTTGCTGCATTTGGAATTTCCTTTGCTTTTTCTCCTTTCACCTTTTAGACGGTGCCGCGGAGATGGAAGAACAGTTGTAGGACTTCCATCTACTACACAATACTTGTCGAAATCCAACTCCATAACTAGTCATATCAATTGATCTGCAACCTATCAAGGACAACATAACAGGTCATTCACAAGTAAAATCCACAACCTACTTAGCACAATGCATTACAATTCAAAACAAACATCAGAGAAATACAACTAATCACATAAGATTTTACAATTTATAGGACTAAATCTTATTCGGAAACAGCCTCTCTATCCCACAAAGGTAAGGATAAGGTCTGCGTACATCTCACCCTCGCTAGACCCCACTTGTAGGATTAAACTGAGTATGTTGTTGTAGGATTAAAATCTTATAGGGCAACATTTCTATGAACTAAACCAATTGAAAATACCTAAAGATTGGATTTTTAGACTCCAAGACCCCCAAACATGCTTTCAACATAACAAAAGTTCAGGAATACAGCAAACAACTAGATCTAAGAGAAAGACTCTAGACCAAGAAACCTCAATGATTCCATGTGTTTCACTCACGAAACTGAAAGATATGCAACAAAAATAAAAATAAAACGGGCATACCCATGTCTTCAAATTGAAAACAAGAAGGCTAAGCAAAGCTAAAAAGCCTAACAAATGCACAAATTCCAAGGGACTCTCCTAATGACAAAATCCATTGTTTAGAACAAAAACCCCTCAAAGGTGCAAACTTTAGTCCAATTAAACTTAAACTATGAATCTCCCTAATGAAAAATGTAGAATTTATTCTAAAACAAATCTAAAAAACAGTCCATTACCATACCCCACTTGATTTCAGAGAAGTGAAGCAAAAGAAAAACCCAACAAACTCCTAGCAGAAGCAATCATTTCTTATTAATCTCTTAACCTCAAAGACTCATTCAAGAAAGCACATTTCACATTTATATATTCTCCAAAAGGGTAAAAGAGAAGATACCAAAACCAACCTCACATTGCTTAAAGAGCATTCAGTTTCTGACTTAAAATTGGTACTCAAAACTTTCTCCAAGAATCAAGAAAAACACATGGGTAAAATAATAACAACAATTAGCACCAACCCACAAAAAGTTACACCATATAATGAGTTAATGACCAAAAAAAAAAGAGCATGCCTTGTAGGGATAGAGACTGAGAGAAGAAAAGGGGTAGTGGGGTATAACAAATATAGAGTGAAACTCTCTCACACACACATGAGAGAAGAAGAGAGACAAAAGAGCTGCCAAGCTGCTCTATATGTCCACTAAAAAAGCAATCTTTGACTCACATCATCATATGCTTTCATGCTTTGTTTCTGATTTCTATTATTTATTACTCCGTGTCACTTTAGTTTATTTCACGCTCATATAAAATTAAAAAAAAAGTTTAACTATTTTCATTTGTTAAATATTTTTTGAAAATTATATTTATTCTTACCTATTTATTATAACAAAAATAGATAATAACTTTTACTTATTCAATTTAAAAATTCAAGAAAAAGTCATCATATAATTTATGATATATTTTCCAAAGAATTAAATTTATTATATTCAGAAAGTGATGGTGAAACTATTATTTTAATTATTACTCCTTAATGAATATGACCGAGTCAATACTGAATAAGCAAAAATGAATGAAATCGTACTAGCTTTTATCTTGAATTTTTAAAAATAATATATATATATTGGAATAAAAATTTACTCCATTCGTCTCATATTAGTTGATCATTTTCTTCCTTACACCCATATTAAGAAATCATAAATAAAATAATTTTACTAATTCATTCCTTAAAAAAAAGTCTTGAAAACACACTTTCAAAAGAATTAATTATAAGGGTAAGTTAGAAAAAAAAAATTAATGCATTGCTGATTTAGTAAAATGAACAATTAATATGAAATAACTATTTTCGATAAGATGATCAATTAATATAACCGATAAGTATTTTTTAAAATGACACTTATTTTAAAACGGAGATAATAGGTTTGCCTCTAGTGTGGATTTTTTCTTTGTTATGTGTGGCCTTTCTTTCTTGCCTTCTTTCACTTTTTTCAATGTATACTTTTTAGGTCACTGTTTAAGGCACATTGAAGATGGCAAATTTCCAATATTAACCTTGAAGATAGGACTAATCACACTTAATTTAGGGGCAATTTTGGTAAATCAGGAAAGGGGACAGACCAATTATTAATTGGATGGAATCACTGCACAAGAATTAATAATAATTTATGCTATTTTATTGGGAATAGCATATATTGTTTTCTATTTGGCTTTTTCTTGGCTAATTAAATATAGTTTTTTATATTTTTCAAATTTAATATGGGACAGGATTCTTATGATCAAGGTGATTCCCAATTTAAAATAATCTTTTTTTTAATTAATGGTGAATTGAATGTAATAGATTTCAGATCCCTTCAAAAAGGAAAATTACATTAAGACCCTTGATTCTTGGATAATACTTTTGACAAGTTTACCCCTCAATAATAAAACAACATAAATGGTAAATTAATAATTTGAGATTGTATTGTTACATTTAAAATATATACTCTATTTTAATATGTTTATCTTATTTTCTTTGTACTTCATTCCTTTTTTAAAACACTTTAATTTTAACTTTTACATACTATATTTCAGGTCTGAATTGAAATGGAGTGAGTAATAAGATATCATAGACCATATACAAATAGATAAAAATCAACCTATGTACCAAAAATAAATAGATATTAGCTTGAAAATATGAATTATAGTATATAGTTTTGATTTGGAGAGGGAAAATAATCTTAAAGAAAATGTTTTGATTTTTTTCCTTGATGTTGTTCGATCAAGAAGGTGATTTCGAGAATCAACCAACAAAAAAAACTCACAGGTTTCGAGAGTCACAACTTTTCTCTCAACCAAATAAATAAAATGAGATAGGTTATATAAATGTCTATAGAATTCACAAGAGAGCACCAAATTATAACACCAGAAAATTATACTATTAATAATAATTACTAGTCTTACAATTATAACACCAGAAATTTACACTCTTAATTATTATTGTTAAAATAATAATTTATTTTCTTGAACAATTCATTTATTTCACTATCAACCAAAAAATGGGCCAAGACATTTTTGTAGTGGAACTTTAATAGGGAAAGGGACAAATGCAAGTAAAGATTTGGTTGAGGAAGTACTATGGTTGATACTTTTAAGACATGGAACCATTTATTGTTGCATAAATAGGGTAACCTTTAATTGCTCATATGGTGGATACAACACTAAAAAGTAAAAACCACGTGTCCGTTTCAAATAAGTTGAGTCAACTATATAAATTTTCATCGTTTTAATTTTTCTCATCATCACACCAAATAAAAATGAAAATACAAAATTGACACCTCAATCTCAAACAAGTTGAATCGACTGTATGAATCTTCATTATTTTAATTCATCTCATCATTACATCAAATAAAAACAAAAATGACTAATATGAAAACTCATCATGAATCGACATACTTCATCTATAATCCTATATACCATAACCCTCAACATTTATTCGATATTGATATCGATAATGTGAACAAATCCACGCCAACTAAATTTTTTCTATTATATTTACTATGGCCTTAAATGAAAGTGTATAAGGTATCCTCTACTTGGTTCTTTTGGTTGGATTCTTTGATGGTGTTAATTATGTTAAAGCTTCAAATTTGTCAACTTTTATTTGGTAAAGAATTAAATTTGATAGTTGTATATACATATTATAAGTATGGTAGTGTGGTCCTGCACACTTTATTACTACCAATTATAATTTATTTTTTTACATTTAAAAAAATATATTATGACCAAGTAATTGAGTGAAGAATAATAATGCTCCTATAACTTGCCGTAAGAAATTTCTTTCCTTTTTATCCTTTTTTGAGAAGCAATAATATGGTCTTTCATTTATCAAGATCCTAATATAAACAAAGCCATATTTTTATATATATATTTTTAAAGTTAAAATGTCTAAAATCTAAATATATATTCGATTATTAATATATTATTATTGTAAATATGAACACTCCAAAAGTTAGTGACATTTGGTAACATGCACTAGTGATGGTCGTTAATGATGATTGTGAAGCATTTTTGCTAGTAGTAGAGAATGACAACGGTTAAAGATTATACCTGGCCGTGTCTGGAAATGAATATCTTAATAATTTTAAGATTCTTCCACATAATTTTTTTATTCTTTTTAAAATATTTTATTTATTTATTTTTGTAAGGGTATTTTGGTCATTGTGTAAGTTTGAGTGCAAAGAGCAAGGAGAAAAGAGTAAATTTATAAGGGGTGCATGTGATGTGGTTTAAGGCGGGGAGGAAGCAGATCTGAAATTGGTCGGTCAAATAGAAATCAAAGTATATTATACTATTCTTTTCCCAAATTGACACTACTACCCCTAGGGTGCGATCCTTCCCGAACCCGAACACGAAATATTTTATGCATCAAACTATTTCACTCCTAAGCATCCAACTATCCATCCCTTGCCAAATAATGATCATTTTGCAATACAAATTGCAAGTTGTTCTAGACCTTCACTGTAGGGCCCGTTGTTCTCAACTAAAACGTATCTAATGTAGATCTAAGAAGAATGATAAGTACATAGTCTTACCCCAAGGTTGTAAAGGTAAAGAGGATGCTTCCGATTATAACTGTAATTGGAAAACTCCAATGATACTCAACTTGATAATTTAAGAAAATTTATGACTAGGGTAGGATTTTTCAACATGGTAGCTAGAGGAGTTGCCATCACCTATAGATAATATAAAGATTCCTTCCCAATACATGTAGTTTTTTCAACACGTTCCCTTCATTGAACGTCCTCGTAGAGTGCAGAAATGCATGTTAAGAAAAGATGTACCAAAGCCATGAAGACACGTAAATGCAGCCATAAATCACCTCATTTGTAGGTTGAAGAAAAAAATAATAATCTTAAAACTACACAAGATTACATCCATCAACCTTTTTACCCTACCCTTTACAACTGTGCAGATTGTACAGTACTAAGAAAGAAAACAATCCATACCTTGTTGTCGCCATTAAATTTCTAACTAGACTACGATTTTTTACTACTACGCACCCATATCTATACCATCTAAATGTGTGTACTATCTATTAGTTGTAGGAGATGGTTGTGTTTAGCAGAACGTTTAGTCGGCATGGCTGGTGGAAGTATTGTCTTCAGGCTTGGTCTTGTTGAATGATCTTTGGCTATCTAGAACCGGCGTGTAAGCTTCTGTTGTTTTCTTTAGAATGTCATTAGCTCCTTTATCAGCTTTTCGTGGACTCGTTAAGTTCTTCTCTACATCTTCAAACTTAGCAGTGGCCAACGGTTCTGTTCCAACGCTCTTTGCAGAATTTGGTCCATCGATTGTGAGGCTAGCAGCTTCGTCTCTAGAAGCATACCAAGTATTGCCACAAGCAATACACTCCAGCTGAGATTTTAAAAAAAAAAAACAAGAGAGTCTGTCAGCATTAAAGGAAAAGATGACATAGTTAAAAAGTATATATTAGAGAGAAGTTTCCTAATGGCATTTACACCATATTCAATCTGTTTTTTCTTTGAATACAAGTAAAACTCCGAAGTGACTATGTGAAATTTAAGTGACACAACGGGCAAATTGGTCTCTATGCGAAGGTAAATTCCCTTCAACATCTTGCATGGTGGTTTAGTACAATGCCAATGAGGAGGTGAATTAGCTATTACCCTGAGAACAGAAACGTACTCTAAAGAAATTGATTACTGTCACATCATCTAAACACAACATGAAATTGTTTTAAGTTCAAATATCCTCCTCGCTATTACCAATCATATTAACTCTATAGACAGATGTGTATCAAAGACAATGTTCAATCAACTATAAAAAGCTTCGGGTGCAACAAGGAATCGCTATCATAGTAAACAATTTTCCACCCTCTCTCCCAAAAAGAAAATGAATGATACCAATAATAATAATAGTAATAATAATAAGAGGGTACAAGAGATATCCAAAAAGAAACATAGTGATGTATATATGAAGCAAGTCTGTCTCAAACCACAAAGAAAAGCTTCAAGGACAAACCGAGTAACGATCTCCATGTCCAGCCTGAATAATCTCCATGAGCCGCACTTTTTTCTCAGTGCATCTATTGCAACGAGCATCAGTCATCTGTGCCACAAACCAATCAGAAGTGAGTTACAAGAAACAACATACTCAGCCTGTGTTCAGTTTTTGCAACAAGTATTGGTCATCTGTTACACAAAGTGAA